ATATGACCATTTAATCCTATGGAACTCTTCACACACTGATCTGTTGCAGATCTGCTGCATTTTTGGTGCAGGTTTGGTGCAGTTAAAAAACAAACAAAAAAAAAACAAACAAAAAAAAAAAAAAAAAAAACCACACCAAAAAAATGCATCTCCCCATTGAAATGAATGGAAAAACATGGCAAAAATGCATCAGAAATGCACCAGCATTGCGTTTTTGGTGCATTTTTTAAGTCCTGTAAAAATGCACTGCAATAATGGAAAACGTGCACGTGTTTTTGTGTGAAAGTAACCTTAAGGTGATACTAATGTCTTTTTTTTTTTTTAAAACAACCAAAATGTCATATTTACCTGTATAGTGGCTTTGCACAGAGCAGCCAGATCCACCTCTTCTTGGGTCCCCTGCCGGCACTCCTGGCCCTTCCCTCCTGTCGGACGCCCCCCAAGCAGCTTGCTATGGGGGCACCCGAGCAGGCGCACTCCCAGCCATGGCTCTGCGTGTCCATTCACACACAGTAATGAAGCTCAGCCCTGCCCTCTTTCTCTCCTGACTGGCTCAATGGCTGTGATTGGCACCAGCGGAACCCAATGGCTCCTGCTGCTGCCTCATCCAGTAAGGAGTAGGAGTCCCCAGAGAACAAAGGCTCTTGTGGATATCGCTGGATCAGGATGGGGCTCAGTTAAATGTTAGGGGGGGCTGCTACACACAGGTGTTTTTACTTTTATGCATACAATGCATGAAGGTAAAAAAAAAAAACCCTAGAGCCTTTAGAACCATTCTAAGCTTTCTTTGTGGCACATCCCAAGCTATTTATGGATGGTGGTAACACAAGAGCTAAGCTGCAATCTGGCTACTGGCAGAACGTCTCTTTGGAGAACAAGCGAGTCACCTCTGATACCATACTAATCATCCATACTCTGTGGTCTGTAAGACGCTGTTCATGTTTGTGAGATGCAAGAATGCAAACATAATTTGCACTTGCCCCCACAGCGCACAAAAGCACATTTAAAAAAAAAAAAAAAAAAAAAAAAAATCTATTAATTCTTAATGGCACCCAATGCACCTTGCTAACCTGTGTGAGAAATCACACATCAAAAACACATGGCAACAAAGACCCCTGGATTTTGGGGATTGCACATGTAGGACAGTCCACTGGAACACATTGCTTGTCCTAAATGTGGTGCACAGAAACCTTTTTGATGTCCGTTTACCACTGGGGACATTTCCATTCACTTTCTGTCCCAGAGACACAATGTTATGTTAGGAGAAATCTATAATTAGGGATATTCCCTTCTTAGAAAGGTGTCCCTGGAACAGGTGTCCCCATTGGAAGATTACCATTCAACACTTGTTTTAGGGACAATTTTGGATATTACCGTACTTTTTTTCCTCAGGGACAATGATCACCATTACAAATAGAGGGGCGAATTCCCCCTCTTTTTTGCTTGAAAGAGGTCTGGTAACCCATGAATGTCAAGAAAGTGGCCCATGGCATCCGATATGAGACTACCAAACTGTATGTTATTGAAACATAAATCATAAATTAACTGTAAACATCTCATACTGGGAAAAAAAACTGGTTTGGTCCCAGCAGGATTAACTTTGTTCATCAAATGTATTCCCAAGAAATTCCCATCAAACATATTGAGATCAACACTATAACCTATGTTGACAGCAAACTCATGGTATGCCACATGGGACTTCCAAACAGATGATCAGTCCAGTAAGGCACACATGTCCAGAGGGTCACTAAAGAAAAGCATACTGACACCATACCATCTGGCTCCTGGGCAGGAAAAACACAAAAGTGGTGTGACAAGGAAGAAAAGTTTACACGCTATACTTTCTGTAGTAATTGGTTGATGGGGACAATTATGATAGTGTTAAGGCTAAAGAACATAGAAAAATATTTACATGCCAGGCATCTTGGAATTATTTCTGCAGACTAGTAACACAAATCTATTACATGAATGCCAAAATCAATTTACATGAATGCAGAGTTAGCTGTCTTTTATATAGACCTTACGCTAAACAGACACAGTATTGCAGGGTTGCCAGTCCTTACAAGTTCTTGGCTCCTTATCTGCTGCAGACACATAGCTGTACCAATGTTGAATATAGAGTTGAATATAGAGTCACAATGTAACATTAATTCAAACACTGGTGGCCTTGGAAAAATATGCTACTTGATCTAATTTGTGGACTTATACGCCTTACCAGTGTCATGGTTGTCATGTTGATCCAATGGCTTTAATCCTTACTAAAGCCGCCCATAGACAGTGTTGACAGGGGTTTCCCTCCCACTGAGCCATTGTGTTCCCTCTGCGGGGACAGCTTCCTGCCACTGGCAATAATCGCATGTAAAATTGGACAGGCTGGTTGTACCCAAGCTAATCAATAGACTTGAGTACATTCAGCCTGCCCATACATGGTTCGAAATCTCAGCTGGTTCCTGCAACCAGGAAAGGGCTGGGAAAGGGGCATTTGCCAGAACAAAAAAAGATATGTTGGACTGAAAGCTCTAAGTGAGAATACTTTCCTATTCAGACCTCAATCAGCCCCACAAGAATGAGAAGAGATCACAATTAGCAACCGGTCATCGGCAGGTGGTCCTGCTCTGGTCAAGATCCAAATGGGAGGGCAGGAGATTTTATAATATATCTTATATATGCCTTCCCTCTACCTCCTTCCTTCATTCACAATCCAATATTTGTTTTTCTTCCTTTATGGTAGCCACAAGAATGATCAGCAGATTGAAAGCCAATTTTTTTTCTTAAGGCTGAAGTCCAGGTAAAATCATAAGTCACCCTTGCAGTGTAGCTCCACCCATACTGTAAAGTTAAGTGCTCTTTTTATTTAGTTTTCTTGCCTTCTGTTTAACTCAGACTTTCTCCCAGCTGCATGACCGGCCCCCCGAAGCCCACTTGTTTTGGCTGCTCTGTAGGTCGCCAGCAGCTGGATCTCATCATGGACAAAAGCATTGTAAGTGAAGATGCCACAGGCCCACTAACATAACCTGGAGCATCAAAGAGAAGGGGAGAGTGTTACCAGCCAGGGGAGTGAGAAATAAGTCAAGCAAAACTGCCGATTATGCTCCCTTTAGATCAAAATAAACATTAAACCCCAATAATGTGGGGGAGCTCAAGGCAAGGGTAACTTGATACAACCTGGAGTTCAGTCTACTTTAATGCAATAAATGTAGCCATTTAAAAAAAAAAAAAAATTAAAAACCCATTTACTTATTCCTCTCCTATGTTGTACAGGTGCTTCCCTTCGAAAAAGAATGCTTTGCTTCTCTAACAGGGTTTTCCTTTGCTCATTTAATAAAACTTGAATAGGTGATTTGTTTGTCTGTTAATGGTAGAGAAACAACTTCTTTTGTAAAGATAACATGGTTTTTAATAGTTGAGTCCATATCTTTTTACAGAGTATCAGCCAACTTATTCAGTCCATAAAATAACGTCATTATTAACAATCCTCTTTCTTTGGCATACACAGCATGTGAATGTGAAAAGGTGTGCCACAATAAACCATTTCCTTCAAACCTTTCACTTACAGGCCCTGTCCTGTCCATTTATTCACCTCTGGGTGGCCAGTAGACATGTACACTTCGTTTTGTTCTGAATCAAAATTCAGATGAAATTTACGTAAATTTACAATAGTAGAGAACTTAATCTAATCCCAAATAACTATCAAAATTTTGTCAGAAATTCAAATTGAATACTATATTTCAAATTTTGTTTTCAAATTAAATTAAATTTTAAACATATTGCTGATTTCCTTCAAAGACTATGTATTAGAACATCTTCCAAAAATCAAAAATAATAGAACAGAATAGAATAAAAAATAAAATGCAATAGAAAATAAAGGCATAGAATAGAAAAAAAATACAATAGATTTGATTAGAATAGAAAAAAAATAGAAAGAACATAGCCATCTTCTGAAACTCGAATAGAAGAAAATAGAATATAAAAGAATAGCATAGAAAATATAGAATAGATTAGAACAGAGTATTGTATGTATGGTTTGTCTGTTTTTTCTTTGTGATATTAAAAAAAAAAAAATTTTTTTCTAAAAATCTGATTGAAAAAAAAAAAAAATAGATTAGAAATAGAGAAGATTTAGTTAGATATCTAATAAAATTAGAAGTACGAAAAGAATATAGTAAAAAGAACACAATCTAAAATAAAAGAAAGGAATAAAATAGGACAAATAGAATAGAACAGGAATAGAATAGAATAAATAAGAACTGAATAGAACGAATATATACCGACTTCCGCAATTCGAATTTCAAATAGAATAGAACCAGCTTTTCTTTACAATGAATTCTAATCAATTCGCTATTTTTGATTTAAATAGTTCAAATCCATTGGAGAACTTTTAATCCAGTCAAAAAGAAATAAAAGAAACAAACCGAACCAAAAACAAAATTAATTTCGTTACGAATGCAACAAAACAAAATTAGTACCTTAACAAAATCGATCCAAAACGAAATAATTTTTTTTGTTCTGCACATGTCTAGTGGCCAGATCATTTTTGAAAAATTTCAAAATTTTTCCCTTTCAACTTTTAGAGTTTGTAAAAGACTCTCTCAAAATATACACTTTCTAAAAGCATAGGACACATAGAATAAAAAGATAGTGGTAATGGTTTTGTAGGTTGCTTGATAATTGTGCAAAATGTTTCTTTTTTTTATAAAAATACACTAAAATCATTACAAAGTTCCTACTGAATTTAAAGCATAACAATCAAAAAACTGTGCCTTTTTGCAAAGTGTTGACAATCTCAAAACGGAATGTTATGTGTGCAATCTGGGGGGGGAATTTGCGTTTTGATTTTTTTAAGATAGGTTTCATTTTTTTTTTTTTAACGTTTTTTTCCTTTTACTTAAGTACTATCACTTGGGGATGACAAGCTCCTGGTTTTGATAGAAGGCCAATTTAAGTAAACTGTATTTTTCAACTGCAACACAAGACAAATTATACTTTCCGCTGGTACTCACCTGCCACACGCTCGTCAACTTCCCGGTTGCCATCATCAGAGTAGCGAGCAAAGTCCAGTGAATCAAGAGTGCTTATGCTACCAGCTCGATCTGAAAAGAATAAGGATCAATCAGTCTAAAGCATGTCACAATTTTAGAATTTCATAGAACAAGGAATAAATACTACAAGGTTAATAGACATTAAGTAATATTCCAGTAGTAAACCATTTCACAGGAGTGATCAAGAACAATTAAATTATAGACACTCACAAAAATCCTCTTGGCTCATCATTAAATTATATTCTATTATTAATCCAAATCTGTCACCTATAAAGAACCGTTACAAATGAACTGATGAAAAGAATGTACAGCTTCCATTCAAGGATAATAATGGCTTGGGCTTGATTTAGTGTGGTATAAGTGTAGCGACAATGATTTCTGTACAGATTAAGGAAACTTTGAATACATCATTGGAGGCACCATTTAAACCTCCTTAAGGCTAGGTTCACACATACACTATATATCGCCAACTGTATTGGGACGCCTGCCTTTACACGAACATGAACTTTAATGGCATCCCAGTCTTAGTCCGTAGGGTTCAATATGGAGTTGGCCCCGCCCTTTGCAGCTATAACAGCTTCAACTCTTCTGGGAAGGCCGTCCACAAGGTTTAGGAGTGTGTCTATGGGAATATTTGACCATTCATCCAGAAGTGCATTTGTGAGGTCAGGCACTGATGTAGGACATGAAGGTCTGGCTCACAGTCTCTGCTCTAATTCATCCCAAAGGTGTTCTGTCGGGTTGATGTCAGGACTCTGTGCAGGCCAGCCAAGTTCTTCCTCCCCAAACTCACTCATCCATGTCTATATAGACCTTGCTTTGTGCACAGTCATGTTTGAACTGGAAGGGGCCTTCCCCAAACTGTTCCCACAAAGTTGGGACAATAAAATTGTCCAAAAGGTCTTGTTATGCTAACACCTCAAGACTTCCCTTCATTGGAACTAAGTGGCCAAGCCCAACCCCTGCAAAACAACCTCACAGCATAATCCCCCCTCCACCAAACTTTACACTTGGTACAATGCAGTCAGGCAAGCACCGTTCTCCTGGTAACCCCCAAACCCAGACACGTCCATCGGATGGCCAGACAGAGAAGTGTGATTTGTAACTCCAGAAAACACGTCTCCCCTGCTCTAGAATTCAGTAGCGGCGCGCCTTACACCACTGCATCTGACACTTTGCATTGCGCTTGGTGATGTAAGGCTTGGATGCAGCTGCTTGGCCATGGAAACCCATTCCATGAAGCTCTCTATGCAATTGTTGTGGTAATCTGAAGGCCACATGAAGTTTGGAGGAGTTTAGCTATTGACTGCAGACAGTTGGCGTCTTCTGCGCACTGGGCGCTTGAGCATGCGCGGACCCCGCTGTCATTTTATGTGGTCTATCACTTCATCGCTGAGTTGCTGTTGTTCCCAGTTGCTTCCACTTTGTTATAATACCACTAACAGTTGACTGTGGAATATTTAGTAGCAAGGAATTTCAACAGATGGACTTATTGCACAGGTGGCAACCTATCACAGTACTACGCTTGAATTCACTGAGCTTCTGAGAGGGACCCATTCTTTCACAAATGTTTGTAGAAGCAGTCTGCATGCCTAGATGCTTGATTTTATACACCTGTGGCCATGGAGGTGATTGGAACACTTGAATTCCAATGATTTGGAACGGGTGGCCCAATACTTTTGGCCATATAGTGTATGTGGACAGACAAAACACTGCTCTTTAGCAGAAGTGCGGGGGTGCCATTAACTCTTGACACACATCAGAAAACGCAGTGTGTTTTCAGGTGCTGGAAACAGTGTGGTGCATGCATCTCCATATGGCTGCCCTACAGGTGTGTTTTGAAAAGGGTTGAATACTTTTCCCCCACATTTCCTGTAGGTATAGCAGCCCATTCTCATGGATGCAAAAGCATCCAGACAAAAACGCAGAGGTGTGAACCTAGCACAGTTACACTTGCAGTGTCCTTTGAAGTGAAATCTGTGGTGGATAACTCTTCAGAGAGCATTTGACAGTTGGTGAAGAACCATCATTTGCCCTTCTTAGTTTTTTTTTCCATCCCTAAAAACCCGGGCTCTGGTGCGGCCCCATTCAGGCAAATGAGTCGTATTCAGCAAGCAGCCTTGCCGCTGAACATGACCAGGGGTGGGGGGGTTCATAGATTCTGGCATGTGTACACCCACGTCTTATGCTTTTGCAGCATAACACTGAGTGTTTGGGGGGTAAAAACTAGTGGTGCACCAAAATGAAAATTTTGAACCAAAACAGAATTTCAGGATGCACTTGACCAAAACCCGAAACCAAAATGGACAGTTTTTTTTTTTTTACATTTTTATATAGAATTGTAGTATACCTGCCTTTTTAATATTATGAATTTAAATGAATATGAATTTAAAAAATACAAACTAGTAACGTAAAATGCCGTTTATTGAAAGCAACACACACAAATTGGACAAAAAACTTAAACAGAGGTGCATTGAAGTCAATGGGACACAATTCTGCACTGAAGTCAATCAGATGCAGTTTTGCATTGAAGTCGATTATCTTTATTCGGCGCCCTTTTTTTCTTACCCTATTTTCAGCCAATAATTTTCATCAGCCAATATATCGGTGCATTAAAAACACAGCTCAACCACATGTTCCTCCCATTGTAAGTGTTAAGCAAGCCATAGATGAGTCGAAAAATGAACAAAATTTGTGTCGATCAAATTGAAAGTGCCAGATCCAACATGCTTGCTTTTTTTTTTTCTTTTTTTTAGAAAATCTAAACAATTGATGGCACAATCGTATGTCCTATTTTCATTTTTCGATCAACAGAACTTTTGTTTTTTGACTCGTCTATGGCCAGCTTAAAATGAGAGCATACACAAAAAAAAATTGGGGTTGTGATGCAGCATAATATTTGAAATTTTTTTTTATGCCAACTAGTTCTATTCATAGATCATATATAAACACTGTGTAAGCTGTTGAAGCTATATAACATAGTAATAATAAACATGCAGACATGGAGAATGCAGTTAACCACTTGCCCTCCTGAGGATTTACCCCCCTTCCTGACCAGGCCATTTTTTGCATTACAGCGCTGCGTTTTTTTACTGACAACAATTGCGCGGTCATGCAACGCTGCATCCAAATGGAATTTACGTTCCTTTTTCCCCACAAATAGAGCTCTCTTTCAATGGCATTTGATCACCTGTGCGGTTTTTTATTTCTTGCGCTACAAAAAAAAAAACGACAATTTTGAGGAAAAAAAAAACTATATTTTTTAACTTTTTACTATTAAACATGTCCAGTAAAAAAATGAAAAAATAAAATATTTCATCATAAATTTAAGCCAAAATGTATTTTGCTACGTCTTTGCTAAAAAAAAAAAATCCCAATACGTGTAAATGAATTGGGTTACATGAAAGTTATAGCATTTACAAATGGCGGTATATATACTGGAATTTATATTTTTATTTTTACTAGTAATGGTCGGTGATTATAGACTTATAATGGGACTGCGGGACTGTGGCGGGCATTCTGACACTGGGGGGGAACTGACTTGGTGTCAGTGACATCCCCAGTGACACCAATACAGTGATCGGTGCTAATAAAAAGCACTGACACTGTACTAATGGCACTGGGAAGGAAGGGGGTAACATGTGGGGCGATCAAAGGGTTAACTGTGTGGTGTGTGTGTTTTTACTAAAGTGCTGGGTCTGTGCTTCACTGTAGGCACACTGCTTTACATGGCTCTGCTATGCAAAGCAGTGTGCAGGACCTGAAGGGGAGAGGACTGTTTTGTTTACAAACAGTTACACCCACCACGCCCCCTGGTCGGAGATGCTCGGCAATCACTGGGCACTGGGCGATGTAATCACCAGCCGGGACAAACGTTGATTGACAGCCACGGCTGCGAATGGCACCTCGCACGCTCCTCCTACCTGGAAATGCAAAATATAAAATATATAATAAAATATATATAAATATATAAATAATAATATATATATATATATATATAAATAAACATATATATACATACAATACATATACAACATAAAAAATATTATATATATATATATACATACACACACATACAAACAAAAATAAATATATATACACACAACACATATATAATATATATATAAAACACATAATAACATATAATATATATATATAACATACCACAAAACATATAAATATATATAAATATATATACATAACAACAAAAATATATAAAATAATATATATATACAATACACACATATATACAATATATATAAATATACATATAATATATACATATATATATATATTTTTAACACACAATATATACATATATATATATATACACACACACATATATATAAATATATATAATATAAACACATACACACACATACACAATAACATAAATATATATACAAAAATAATACACATATATATATATATACACAATATTATAAAACAAACAACATAAAATATATATAATAACACATAAATATAACATATATACACACACATATATATATAACACATATAAACAAATTACACATATATATATATAAACAATAAAATAAAAATAAAAAATATAAACAACAACACACATATATATATAAACATACAACAAATATATTAAAAATACAATAATACAAAAACACATAATATATATATATACAAAAAAACAACATATATAATATATACAAAAAAACACAATATATATATAAAAACACACATAATATATAACACATATATATATAATAAACACAAACACAATAAAAATACACACACAATATTATACAATATATATATATAACACACACATATATATAATACACACACATACATAAATAATATATATATACACAAATATATATAAAAATAATATATATATAACACAAAATAACACATATATAAATATATTACAACAAATATATATATAATATATAAATATATATATAATAATATATAATATATATATAACACAAAATAAAAAATAAAAATATAATATATAAACAAAACACATATATAAATATATATATATATATATATATATATATATATATAATATA